TTTAGATCAACCCTGTTTATTCCTGTGAACCAACTAGTGATCTTCAACTGTAGCTCAGAAGAAACAAAAAGGGATGGGTAATGTAAAAATCTGGATTAATATTCTATTTCTGGGCAATTATCCTGCAAATCCTGCAGAGTGATGGGTATAAATTGGGTGCCCATCCCAATCTCAGTAAGCATAACTACAGCCACTAGTTATCTGGGTGTGTCAAAAGACATTCTTTTCTCTCCCTTGTGGAAAAAGGACTCAATTCCATAGCTTCATCTTAGCATTCAGCTCATAAGGAGTCTATGCAATCCTCTGAGACATAGTTTTGTCCCAACCTCAATTCTAAGCTTCTGGTTGAAGCCCTAGGAAAGAATATGGGATCTGAGAAATCCACAGGCAGATGATAATGGGGGTTAAAAGGCACAGTGCAGATGAGCATGACTAATTCCAGCCGATTAAGCCAAGCCTCCCATTTCATAGATAAAGATCATGCAACGATCTGTGGAATAAATGAGGTCTAGTCAACTCCAGAACCACAGACAGCAGGAGAGATAGGGTAAGAGCAAATATTTCCACCCCCCTAGGCCTCCCTGTTAACCGGGGTGAAAGCTGCTTGGACACCCATGGGTGGCACCCTGTCACAATCACTGGGACTTGGGGATACAAGGATGGAAGGGGAAAAGAGAACATTCTTTCTTATGTCAACATACCCTAGGTATTTGCTAGGACGAAAAAGGAACCAGGGACACCTGCTCCTCTCTTCCTAGATGAGTAGCCATTCATTCATCTTCAGTCGATACCCTTTTCAAATGCATCCTGAACCCTTGGGACTCCTTTGAAAACATGCTTTTTTCCTTTTATCTCCTTTGTCTTCTCTTTACAGATAGGTAATCATGTCTTCATACTATGGGGCAGTCCCCTCAGATGCATCCTCCAAGCTTGGAAGAATTAATTTCCCAAACCTTAGACTGAGTGGCTTGGGATTGGACTCAGAACAAAAGAACCCAGAAGCCTGACATGCTGGCAAAAGGGTAAAAGATTTTTTTTTTTCTTTTTTTCCCCAGTTGGGCTTTTGGCCCCCTCTCCCTATGCAAACTGGTAAAATACCTTGGAATTTTTGAGCTGTCCTTGCCACCTTCCCTGTTTTGTTTTAATACATGCTTTTTAATAACCCAGTTTGATTCGTCCCACCTTCAGGCTACCAAACTTTAAACAGTCATGCAACCAGAACTTTGAACAATGGCCCCTTTCACTGGGGACACTTAGATAGGCCTCTAAGGGAGATCTGATTGCCATTTTTCCAAAACAGTGCCCCCTGTCAGCAGGAAGCAGTTAAAAGTGTTTTTTGTCCTCATCTTTATTTTGATTCTAACAGCAGTTAGATGTACTTCTTTAGAGAGGGAAATAACAGAGTTAGAAAACAGCCAAGGGTCCTGGGCGAAACCCCATCTTCAAGCCTAAAACAGCCTGAAGGCTAAAATATCAGACTGCTGGTCCCAGATGAAGCCTGCCTTTTTCTAACTGATTCTCTCTGAATAATGTCCACCTGCACACTGGAGGAAGGGAGTGGAGTCGTGGAAAGTTTACCCCTTGTGCAGGGAGGAGGAGCCTGGCCTCTTCAGTTTCTGTGTGATGGTCTGGGGTTCACCAGTCTAGGAGGTGGAGCCTGTAAACAGGACTCCGACTCACTTTGTTGAGGTTTTTTTTTTCTTTTTCCGGTTTTTAACCCAATCAACTCTACTCCTCATCCTTCAGAGTGTCCCTGAGCCTAATCTTTCCTAGTCATGTGACAAGAACCCAATTTTGCTGAAGGAGAAAGTTCTGCAACATGAGAATTTGGAACCCTCATTTAAGATAAGCTTAGTATATGCATGTGGCTTCTTTTATCTGTTTCAACATTTTTCTGTCTTTATGCCAACACCACAGTATTTTGATTACTGTAAATTTGCAACATATTTTTAAACAAAAAAAGAATTATGCCTCTGAGTTTATTGTTTATTTCCAGGTTGTTTGGCTACTTGTGATTTTTTTGAGTGTTTACAGAAATTATAGGGCAATATTTTGGTGGCTCACTCCTGTGATCCCAGAACTTTGTGAAGCCAAGGCAAGTGAATTGCTTGAGCCCAGCAGTTTGAGACCAGCCTGGGCAATATGGTGAAACCCTGTTTCTACAAAAAATACAAAAACTTGCTGAGCCTGGTGGCATGCACCTGCAGTCCCAGTTACTTGTAAGGCTGAGGTGAAAACATCAATTGAGCTTGAGAGGTCAAGGCTACAGTAAGCCATGATTATGACACTGCACTCCAGCCTGCATGACACAGCTAAATATTGATTCAAACATTTTAGAATATTTTAGTACTGCTTCAAAAAGTTCCATTGGTTTTTTTGAAAGAGATCTCATTGATTTGTAGATCATTTTGAATATCATTAACATCTAAAGAAACTTGCACGTTCTAATTCTTGAAAAATAGTATGCCAAATAATTTGTTAAGTTTTCACATATATGCAGGCATGCTAATTTTCTTTTGGTTTTTAATTTCCAGTTTTATTTCATTGTAGTCAGAAATACTTTTTATGATTACCATTTGTTTATGCTAAAACTTGCATTCTAGCTTAGAAGTTTGCCTATCTTAGTACACGTGCCATACGCAATTAGAAATATTATGTATTATGCTATTGTTGGGTGAAATGTTTTGTAGATTATTCCCAGGTCTTATTTTTCTTTTTAACCTTTTATTTCCCTTTGCATTTGCCTTTATCTTTATTTTTTATTTTTTATTTACTTTCATTTTTTTCTATTAATTTTATTTCTATTTTTCTTTTTCATTTTTCTAATTCTTAAAATTTTCTTATTTTATTGCAAATTATTCATTTCTCTTGATTTGATTGTATTTATTATCTTCATCTTCATTTTATTTTTCAGATCTTAATCACATTTGTTTATTTTTCTTTATTTCAGTTTGTCCTTACTATTTCTTAATTACTTTAAATTTATCTTTATATTTCATTTTCGTTCTCTTGATTTCATTTGTTTCACTTTATTTTTCTATATTTTGCTTTGTAAAATAGAAGGGATGAGCTATTTTAGATTGGTTTAGCCATAGTGGTCAAGACTCGTTTGCTGAGGCTCTCTGGTAGCCACTCTACTCCAGGAGTCTCCAACCCAGAGTATAGTCAGGGCCTCCTAGCAGGATTGCTAAGATCCCTGGGCAGACCTTTCATTGTTACAGGCCCATCTAGCATTCAGTGTCATGGGCCATTTCTGCTGCTTTCTGAAGCCCGCTGCAAGTCTTAGTGTTGCTAGGCCAAGACTCTGACTCCCTCTTTGTGTCCCAGTGGATCCCCCACACATAATCCAGGGCACTGACTTCTTTCCCAGGAGAGGGCCACACCCACTCCACTGCAGCAGGGCATGTTTGGACCATATGTGTCTTTTCTTTGTTATAAAAGAAGTTTTTTTTGTTTTTTGAGATGGAGTCTTACTCTGTTGCCCAGGCTGGAGTGCAGTGACGTGATCTCAGCTCACTGCAACCTGCAACCTCCGCCTCCCGGGTTCAAGTGATTCTCCTGCCTCAGCCTCCCAAGTAGCTGGGATTACAGGTGTCTGCCACTACACCCAGCTAATTTTTTTTTTTTTTTTTGTATTTTTAGTAAAGATAGCGTTTCACCATGTTAGCCAGACTGGTTTCGAACTCCTGACCTCAGGTGATCCACCTGCCTTGGCCTCCCAAACTGCTGGGATTACACGTGTAAGCCACCGTGCCCAGCTGAGAAAAAAATTTTTTTTTACCTTGACATATAACTTATTATGAAAATGTCAGCTTTATGGGTAGATATACATGCAAATATGTGCAAAAATGAACATTTCTACATCTTATTTAACGCTTTCGTAGAGTTGCTATTTTACCCTTTCCTGTCTTTATATGTTCAATGGGAAAATCTTCAGTGAAGACTCCTCAGTATGATAGACAAAATGTTGTGCATTGATAGATGCAGTGAAGTAACTTCTGGTTTTCACTTGGAGCTCTCACAGCTAGGATTAAAAACCCTTGGTTGTAAACTCACATGATGAGGAGTTATAGTCTGCCATCATAATTGTTTTCAACTTGCCAAGGGAAAAAGTGGGAAATTGTTTCCCTCAGACCTACTCATCTCCCTTTCATAGGTTTTCAGGGTGTGCACTGTCCAGATTGCTTAGAAGCTCATGATCACAGAGGTCATATTTGTCAAGAGAAAGCTTTGTTGCAGGATTAAGTGAAGGTGTTTACCACTCAGGACTCATGGGTCCTCCAGAGGCAGGATGAGCTTAAAAACCATCACTGAAGCCAGAATGTGATGACAGAAGCTGAGGGCTGCCAAAGGAGAAAGTAAAATGCTCCCTTTTGTTTTCCAAGTGTTCACTGCTTATTCTGGCATTACTCTTGCTTCTGACCACGATGTGTTTCTTAGTCATCTTTCTTGGTATTCCACTGACTGTGCATCTAAGGAAAAGATGAGATGGATGAGAGTGGTAAAGAGAACAACTGCATCCTTCTATAGCCGATGCCTTGGTGAGTTTTGAAGCACACTGAGCACTCGGAAATCCTTCCTCACTATGGGGTAAGTTATGTCAAATTCGACTCCCATGGAAATGGCACCAGGTTCAAGATGTCAAAGAAGAGACTCAGAACCAGTGAATGAGATGGAGTTTTACTGGGGACTTACATAGAGGGGAGAAGGTCCAGTGTCAGTGGGCTTAGCAGGATAACCATGCCCACTTGCAGAAAGCATGCAGTTTGTATAGCATTTTTATTTAGCACTTTTTTTTCTGAGCAACCTTTCACCTGTCAGACTTCATTTAACAAAAAAGGAATGGCCTCAATTCCCTGTGTGGCCTATGTTCCATGCCACAGGATGGGACAGACCAGGGGCTCAGATGTTCCTCAAAGGTAAAAAATAATCTCCAGATTGACCCCTACTAGAGTTTTTAGCTTGGAACTCTGAACACTCAGAAGCCTTTTTTAATACAGGGTCAGTCTCCAGGTATGCCCAAGTAAAGTTAACACTGTCAGTTGCATCCATCATACAGGCTGGTTCAGGCAGTGGAGGTTCTTCTTCCTGAGACTATATTCAAAAAAGTATTTGCTTTTTCTTGACTCATTGGGTTGACAGTTTACTAAAGGCCTGAAGTGTGTGCACATTGCTGGTACAGTTGTCTAAGTTAATGAGATGGCTTCATAGTTGGTAGGGCCTGTTCCCGTTACAGGTGTGACTGGGTGTGTACAGGCTGCTGAGGTGCCTCTTTTCCAGACTTTCATTGGACCATGACATTCTGAGGCCCCAGTTCCACCATTTTCCAAGGTGGGACATGCTGAACCAGTCCCTGGAATTGTGATTCAAGGTGACCAGGCTGCGGCTGCTCTTTAAAAGGCAGAACAGCTATGTCTGTGTCTTATTTTCCTTGTCATTCTAACGTATCTTTTGATATGGAGACCAGCAAAGTCTGAGTATGTGACAGCCCTCCTGCTAGAGTTGGTACTATTTATACATGACTCTTAAGAGTCAAAGTAGGTTGAGAGATCTCTCTTCCTGGCACAGCCTGAGTAGGCTAGAGTACTGTGACCCTTACAGCTTAGCTCATGCAGTCTTCAGGGGAATTTCAAAAAACCATAGGATGAGGGGGTAGAGAAAAAGCTGGTATAAATGACAAGTTGCAGGTGAAATAATTGGAGGCAGGAAGAGAACGGGACCTGCTTGGAACAGTACACACACTGCCTGGGTACAGCTGAACAGTCAAGCCAGTTCTCTGATTTGGGCCTTGTGCAGTGGGACTAACAGGCCCACTTCTGCTCTGGCCTGGATGCTGAACACTTTGGTTCTAGAACCAAATGTGGATTCTGGACTCGGGAATTCCAGTTGGGTTTCACAGGCCAGTGAAGTGAGGAGGCCCAGGTGGGCCCACAAAAGTGGCTGTGGGTGAGCTTACGCCACACATGACTGGCTGCTTCTATGCCTACATTCACAAGAGAGATCTTCTTCCTCAAAGGCATGCCCAGGGAGATCTGAGGCTCATAGGAGCCAAGTGAAGAAAAAAGGTGATGCCTCAGTTCAGTGCTTTTGGCCCTCTTGGCTTGTGGCTTTGGGGGCTCAAAGTGCTCATCAGAAAAATGGGCAATGAAAGACTGGCTGCTCATCCCACTTTTACCAGGCGACTGCACAATGCTCACTCTGCAGCTCCAGGTACAGCCTGTGTTTCAAAAAGCTGGGGGATCTCTGGGCTGAGTTCAGGAGTCCCCCTCAGGGACTCCTCCTGCCTACCCCTCTGTGCCCACCTGACAGCTCACCATGCCTGCAGTATGACACCTTTATTGCCTGCTCTTGGCAAGCCCAAGTCTCCCTGGGTTGGCTGGGGGCACATGCTCACTGAAGCCCAGGTGGCCTGACCATCCTTCCTCCAATGTACAGCCTTAGGCAGGTGCCACCCAGGTTTCCTCCTAGAATGTGATCTCAGGGGATCGCAGCAGCACATTCCACTCTAACTTACAGACTAGTTAATCAAAAAGTCACTTAATGTACCAAGGTGGGTGTGGGCCTTGACACTCTTGATATCCTTCCTCTAGTGGGGCTGCCATCCTTATTTCTTGGTGGAAAAAGCTAGCAGGTGAGGCAGGACTCAAGTGCTAGGGACAGGACAGAGAACCTAGGCTGGCCTCACCCAGGGCCCTCTGTGGCTCCTGCAGGCAGGAGGGCTCCATGGAGCTTCAGACCCCTTTTCTAGGATGGTGCCCATAGTCCCTTCCTGGATCTCCAAGAAGGGCCCACTCTTTCTGCAACCTGCACCTACTGGTCTCTAAATGGAAGGTGAGCATCTGGTCTCTAAATGGAAGGTGAGCATCTGGTCTCTAAATGGAAGGTGAGCATCTGGTCTCTAAATGGAAGGCGAGCATCCATTTATGTTTGTGGACATGGCCTTCTGCTCCATTTCCATGAGAAATACCTAGGGAATCCTGGGCCTATGGTGGACGTTCTCTAAGTGCCAAAGTCAGTAAGTCTCAAGAATATAATTAATAGTATTTTCTGCACATTACTATCTCAGGGTTACTTTTGCCCAAAAATGTGTAAAAACAAATACTAAGATTTTTATCCTTTACATTATCTTAATTAGGTCATCATACAAACCTTTTATTTTCCTCCCAATCATTGAATTTTTGTTTTATTCTCTGTTTAAATTGTTACCTGCTTTAGAGGCAAAAACTTAAAAAAAAAATACACTACACAAATACTAACAGGTAACAGCAATTTATTAAATGTAATTAGATTTCTTTAAGTAAATAATTTAAGTAAACAGTTTATATTACTTGTATAAATTATTTTACATCTCACCCTCAATCTTAAAAAAAATTTAGCTAGGTATGCAATTCAAAATTGACAGATTTTTTAAAAATAGGCAACTTAACATTTTATTGGACAAGTTAGGTAATATTAATTCTCAAATATTTTATCTTAGAAATCAACACACTTGACAATTGATATTCATAGTATCTATGAAAGTGACATTCTGAACGTGCTTTATACTTGCCAAAAATTTAGGAGAAAAAAATCTATTCTGGCCTTCAGCAGTAAAACTTAAAGATTAAAGAAATAAGATTAAATTTACTGGTTAAATTACCCAAAAAACTGAAACAGATTCATTTACTTGTTCTTTATCTTTCAGTATCTGATAATGAACAGATTTTAAGATGTTCAGAATCTGCTTCAGTATAGAAATAAGGCCAAACAGCTCTTGTGAAAGAATCATTAAAATATACAGAACAAACCTATCACTTACATTACTTTAAAAAATCACCAAATTCATAGTCCAAAAGAATACCAATCTTATTGGATTTTACTACTGACAGAAGTGGGCTTTTTTAGGACCTGATGCAGCATAACCACTCTATATATCATCCAATTGCCCCCAAATCAACCCAGAACTGAAGGTTGATCCTGCCAGGTCCTAAGAAGACCGTCTTGACACACACCCAATTTTCATTTAGGCTTGTTTCCCACTTCTACCTTCCAGTAATGTCTGCCAGAACTACACTTCTGAGAGCCCAGGACAGCAGGGCAGAAATAAAATCTCCTTGGGTTGTAATAAACGTTTGGTTTTGTTCTTCCATTACACAGCTTTTTCTATCCTCGGAGACAGTAAGTTGAGGATGTGCTGTGTCAAGATCTAAAACCAAGGACAGGTGCGGTGGCTCACACATGTATTCCCAGCACTTTGGAAGGCTGAGGTGGGTGGATCATGAGGTCAGGAGATCAAGACCATCCTGGCTAACACGGTGAAACCCCATCTCTACCAAAAATACAAAAAATTAGCTGGGCCTGGTGGTGGGCACCAGTAGTCTCAGCTATTCAGGAGGGTGAGGCAGGAGAACTGCTTGAACCTAGGAGGCGGAGGTTGCAGCGAGCAGAGATCACGCCACTGCACACCAGCTTGGGTGACAGAGCGAGGTTCCATCTCAAAAAAAGAAAAAAAAAAAGATCTAGAATTAAATCTACTTGAAATAGTTCTGTCTAAGCCAGAATATAGAGGAGGACGACTAAAATCCTATATATTTTTTTTTTTTTGGAGACGGAGTCTCACTCTGTCGCCTAGGCTGGAGTGCAGTGGTGCGATCTCGGCTCACTGCAAGCTCTGCCTCCCGGGTTTACGCCATTCTCCTGCCTCAGCCTCCTGAGAGGCTGGGACTACAGGCGCCCGCCACCACGCCCGGCTAATTTTTTGTATCTTTAGTAGAAACGGGGTTTCACCATGTTTGCCAGGATGGTCTCGATCTCCTGACCGCGTGATCCGCCTGCCTCGGCCTCCCAAAGTGCTGGGATTACAGGCGTGAGCCACCGCGCCTGGCCCTAAAACCATATTTTATATTTTGTTAATCTATATGAAAAGAGTTCAGAGTATTTTAGGTTTCAATACCTGTGGTGCACACTCTTAATACGTGTCAGCAATTCCAGGTTTGACTGCATAGAATTGCCCACTACCTCCCCCAGTAGATGTTTAAATGTAGAAACATAATCTGAAAACTTTCCAAGGTTTTCACTTAGTTTTGCTAAAATGTCCATCTCTTCATGTTGTTTCAATTGTGAGAGTCAACTGTGCAACATGGGTACAATTATGCTCTCTTCATATGCAGAATTAATGTCATTGTTTTTACTACAGATACTTTCCATTTTTCACCTGAGACCACAGGCTAATTTCAAAAAGAATATTTACTTCTAATTATGTAGCTTCTGTTACATAGCTAGTATTGTCTTTGTTTACTTCATGTATATGCCAAAAAGACCTGATAACTTATGAAACATTCAACTGTTTACTTCAACAAACTGGCTCAATAAATTTAATAAACTCAATTATGTCAATTTTATAAAGTAAAATGATCAATAGCTAAATGAAAATTGGATTAAATAGCATTCTCTAATTGAAACAAAATATAAAATATACTAAACATACAATACATGCACTATGAAATTATTCACATGTGAAAAATTATTTTGTGAACACCATTAAATATTATCAAAGTCACTTTCATAATCTCTGAGGGGATTATACAAAGAATGTTTTATGAAATTAGACGAAAAGAAAATTACATATTATGTCTATGGTGAGCAACAGGCAAACAAACAGACAACAAAAAATTAGAATTTGCACAAGATGATTCTAAGCCAGGAGCAATAACATTTTAGATAAATGAATTTAATACACAGCAGAGAAAATAGATTTGCTTTCAAAATCTTTGAAGTTTCTGGTTTGCTGGTAACTGATCAAAGCTTGTAAAATTATCTATTTCACTCTAATATTTTTCTTTTCTTCTCAAAGTAGGTACACAACCATAAACAAATATGATTACTTTTCTCTATAAATCTGTTACACCTAAAGTTTATTTCATAGTGATATATTTGTATATTTAAATCCATGTAAAACAAAATTAAAGGTCTGTATGTGTTTAGCAGACCAGATAAGTCATGTTCAACAGAAAAAAGTAGGATAAAATTTTGTAAATAGTTGTTCAGAATTCAGAAACATATAGCTCCACTATACTCATAATCTTTGTTACAACCATCATAATAACCTGTAGTTACAACAAAACAAAAATGTAAGTTATAGAAACCATATTCTCTAAATTATTTTAAGTTAAAGACCACTGACAAAGGAATCACTAGAGATGTTATTCCACTGTCACCCAACAGTATATTGTTACCTATAACCTTGGGTTAAGATGGGATAAATTATCATCAGTGGCAAGATACATATTCAGTGTAAAATAGCCTTAACACAGTAACAACAATTTTGGTTTATTAAAACAAATTAAGTTCACACGTTGTCATTTAAAAGGCATTTTGAAATTCACTGTATTTTAATAACCTTAATTTGCAAATGGTAAAGCAATTTCCTTCTAAAATTCAAATTGTTTCTCTTACTAAGCAGATTATCCTGATCACTTACCACACTCCTATCATCCTGTCACTTACGACACCGCTGTAAACTACTAAGTGGCCTTTCCACTTAGGATTTCTTCATGTATCTTAGATTTCAGTTTACTTAATCTTCCATGGGAAAGTATATAAATCTGTCCATCTAATAGAGAAGAACCTCTCATAACTCTGGTGCAGCAATCATTGACCGTGTTTTCACATACATTCTAGAAATGAAGACATAGCATCAAATGTAAGAATTAAATTATATCAATATTTGCTTTTGAAAAAATACTGAATCCTTTTAATATAAAAAAGTAGGTTCCTTTTAGAGAAAAGTGATCGAGACTGCTGACTAGAAGCAGCTAGACCGTGTAGTTCTCATAGAGAGGAATGCAAGGTATACACAAATACAGCACCTGCAACTGAAACATCCAGGTACTTGCATTGGGAATAATCAAAGAAACAACTTATGGAGAATGGAGTAAAGAAAGGCAGGACAGTGGGCCACCTGGGAACAACATGGAGCTAAGGGAACCTCCCCACCCAGTAAAGCAGTGAGTGCATGTGTGACCCTGGGAACGCACAATTCTCCCACAGATCTTCGCAACCTTCAGGTGAGGAGATACTCTCATGGACCCACTTCACCAAGGCCTTCAGTTTAACACACAGAGCTACATGGAGTCTTAGCAGAGCAGCTACTCAGGCCTGTGCAAATTCAAGAGCTTTAGATACTGGCTTTCCAGGCTTCCAGAAAAAGCAGCTGCAACTTGAGCAAAGCAGGAGTTTACACCCCTGTACATACTCATAGGAAAGAGGCAGAATCCAGGGGGCTGAGTAGTGATGGTCTGTAGGACCCACTTCTACAATGCCTCACACAGTAAGACCTACTGGCTTAGATTTCAGCCAACCATTGGTAGCAGCACTGCACCTCCCTGGGATGGAGCTACCAGAAAGAGGAGTGGGTCGCCATCTTTGCTGCTTGGGCAACTTAGCCATTCCAGCCTTCAGGCATTGAAGAGCCCAAGCTGACTGGGGGCAGAAAGGATCTCCTAGCACAGTACAGGTGCTCTAAAAAGACAAGACCAGACTGCCTGTTAAAGCAGGTCCCCAGTTTCATTCCTTCTCACTGGAAAGTACTTCCCAATGAAAGTCTCCAGCTACCACCACCAGCGCTCTTTGGTTGATGGAGTTTTGAAACCTCTTTGTGATATAGTTCCTAGAAGGAAGAGTGAGTTGCCATTTTTGCTGTTTGTGTGTTAGCTCTTCCAGCCTTCTGGCTTTGGAGAATCCAAATAAACTGGGGGTGGAAGTGGTACCTCTGAACAGCAGAGTTGTCCTACAAAAATACGGTTAGACTGCTTTCTTGAGGGGGTCCCCAATCATGTTTTCCTCACTGGGTAAGACCTTCAACAGGGGCTTTCCAGCTACTTCCTACAGGTGCTTTTGGGTTGGAAACAGGTCTGTACCTCCCTGGGATGCAGCTCTCAGAGAAAAGGGCATGCTGCCATTGTTGCTGTTTTGCAGCATTCAGTGGTGATAACTTCCGGTACTGGAACATCTGAGGAGACTAGAAACTGCAGTGGACACCCAGGATACTGCAGCAGCCCTTCAGAAGTCATCAGACTGTTACGTGAGTACCTGTTCTCATATATTCTCATGAGGCAGGTTCTCCAGGCCTGGGCCACTAGCCAATCATTGCCAGAGCTATTGAGCCAGTAGCAACTTAGCAACTCCCTGACAGAGCCTCCAGGGGCCTCTGCAGTACAACTGTCCTTGCCACCCTCAGACTCATGAAAAATCCAAAACCCTAAGTGCCTTATTCACACCTCAAACAACCTGCAGTTTACCCAAGAAGAGGAGGCCAGTCCATCCTTCATGGGTCCCACAAACTACCCACTGCTCCTCACCAGACAGGGAACCCCTAACTTGGCCAAAAGTTCAGATCCTCCATCCTGGGCTGGCTGCACTGAGTGATTGCTGACCTACATCTCTCTAAGATGCAGCCCCCAGAAGACAAGCAGAGATGGGGCAGCAAGCCAGCTCACGTGGTACCCAGAGGATTTGGTGCAAGAGCATCTGTAGTAAAGTGTGGCCAGTGACGGCCATTTCTCCAGGCTCAACTTTCTCCCATAAGAGTCTTTATCCTTAGAACTGTTGGACCTAATTTCTGCAGGATGGTCTTGCAAATCAGAAGCAGCTGGTCCAACTGCGCACTCCTTGGACTGCTGGTCTCTCCCAGGGCCCCAGTCTGGCCACAGCTGCTTACAGGGCAGTCTCAGGTACCCTGGAAGCTCATACCGCAGCATCTGCACTGGTGGGCCATGCCTGACCCATGAAGAGCTCCAGCAAGGCAGCCCCTATGACTGCACCAGCCCACGCTTCTTCCCCACACTCCAGCTTCCCCCGAGACCACAGCAACTCCCCATATTTCTTTGCTGGCAGATGTCTGCAAAGGCAGGTTTGGCTTTGCTTGCCCCACCAGCAAATGGAAATGCAATATGCCCCTGCCACCCCCAGCAACTGCCACTGTAGATGAAGCTTTGGTGGGCAGAGAGCCAGAAAACTCCACTCCTGCCTTTGTGCTAACACTGTGTGGAGAACAGGGTATCTTCCCACACTCTGAACAATAACTGCTTCTTGGGGGACACAGAGAAGGCATCAAAACCTTCGCTGGCCAGCATCCTCCCCTATACCAACACCACCTTTAAGTGCAACAGTACACAGTCTCCAGCAGGTATCCCCCACTCCCCTCCCAGCTGCTTTGCTCCTGCCAGTGAGGTGAATGCCAAAGACAGGCAGAAACCCCATATCCACTAGCACTCTGCTCCAGCTGTGGCACCTTGGTTCCACAGAACCGCAAACTCCAAATCTCAAGGAGCCAGAGAACACAGTTGGGGCTCAATACAAGTCCCGCGGAGTTAGAGTGTGCGGCCTCTGAGTTGTGAGCTGGGCACTGCCCGCCCCCCACCACCACCAAAACAAAACAAAACAAAACAAAACTGCCAGGAACAAAGCCTGTTGGCTGCATCCATCTTATACCACAATCAAATACTCAAGACCATCAAATAGGATTACAAAAAAAAAAAAAACAAAAAAACAAAAAAAACCCATTCAAAGGTCAGCAACCTTAAAGATATGCCCACAAAGACAAGACAAAATCAGTGCAAAGATAAAAACACAAAAAGCCAGAGTGACTATTTTCATCCAAATGACCAAATTACATTTCCAGCATGGCCTAAGATGACAGAAGCAAAATTCAGAATGTGGATAGAAACAAACTTCATTGAGCTACAAAAGTAAGTTGCAACCCAATGCAAGGAAGGGAAAACATTGCAGGAACTGACAGAAAAAACAGCCAGTGTAGAGAAAAATGTGGCCAACCCGATAGAACTGGAAAACACAATACAAAACCTTTATCATGTAATCACAAATATTAACAGCAGAAGAGGCCAAGCAGAGGAAAGAATCTCAAGAGCTTCAAGACTGACTTTCTGAAATAAGACAGACAAGAATAGTGAAGAAAGCATAAAGCAGAATGAACAAAACCTCTAAGAAATATGGGATTATGTAAAGAAACCAAATCCATGATGCAAGAGATTGCCTGAAAGCGATGGGGAGAATGAAAACAACTCGAAATACATATTTCAGGATAACATCCACGAGAACTTCCCCAACCTAGAGAGGCCAATATTCAAATGCAGGAAACGTGGAGAACCCCAGTAAGATACCCCATGAGAAGGTCATCCTCAAGACACATAATCATGAGATTCTCCAAGGTCAAAATGAAAGAAAAAATATGTTAAAAGGCAGCTACAGAAAAATAGGACAGGTCACCTCTAAAAGAAGCCCATCAGAAAAACAACGAACCTTTCAGCTGAAATCCTACAAGTCAAAAGAGATTAAGGGCCAATATTCAACATTCTTAAAAAAAGAATTCCAATACAGAATTTCACATCTGACCAAGGTAAGCTTCAGAATTAAAAAATATATATGATCCTATTCAGATAAGCAAATGCTAAGAAAATCTGTTACCACAAGATCTGTCTTACAAGAGCTTCTGAAGAAAGCATTAAAAAAGAAAGACTATTACCAGTCACTACAAAAGCACACTAAAGTATACAAACTGCAGACACTATAAGGCAACCACATAAACAAATGTGCAAAATAGCCAGCAGAGATTCTAATAACAGAATCAAATCCACACATATGAATACTAACCTTAAACGTAAATGGGCTAAATAACCAAATTAAAACACAGATGGCAAGCTGAATAAAGAATCAAGATCTAACAGTATGCTTTAATCGAGACAGCCATCTCAAATAAGCTCAAAATAAGGGGAAAAAGAAAAGTCTACCAAGCAAATAGAAAACAGGAAAAGCAGGGGTTGCAATCCTAGTTTCTGACAAAACAGACTTGAAATTAACATAGATTTAAAAAAAAAAAAGAAGGGCATTACATAATAGCAAAGGGCTATATATGCACCCAACACATAAGCAACACATAAAGTTCTTAGAGACCCTCTAAGATGATAAATGTTCTTCCATCGTTATTACATTTATACTGCATTTGTTCAGTATTAAATTTCTCATGTTGAACATGGTATGAGGACTTGTTAAAGGCTTTTCCACGTTTTTAACACTTGTGGAGCTTCTCTCTAGTATGAATTCTCTTATGTCTGATGAGGTGTGAGAACCAGCTTGATGCTTTGCCACATTCTTCACATTTGTAGGGTTTTTCTCCAGTGTGAATTCTCTTATGATTAGTCAGGTCTGAGAAGCACTTGAAGGTCTTGCCACATTCTTCACATTTATAAGGTCTCTCTTCCATATGAATTCTCTTGTGGTTAAAAAGGGTGGAGGAGCGGGTAAAGGCTTTGCCACATTCTTCACAGATGTAGGGTTTCTCTCCAGTATGAATTCTCTTATGTTTACTAAGGGCCGAGAACCACTTAAAAGCTTTTCCACATTCATTACATTTGTAGGGTTTCTCTCCAGTATGAATTATCTTATGTTTAGCAAGGTCTGAGAACCACCTATAGGCTTTGTTACATTCTTCACATTTGTAGGGTTTCTCTCCAGTATGAATTCTCTTATGATTAGTAAGGTCTGAGAAGCACTTAAAGGCTTTGCCACATTCTTCACATTTGTAGGGTCTGTCTCCAGTATGATTTCTCTTGTGTTTAACAAGGGTTGAGGAGCAGGTAAAGGTTTTGCCACATCCTTCACATTTGTAAGGTTTCTCTCCAGTATGAACTCTCTTATGTTCAGTAAGGTTTGAAAACTTTTTAAAGGGTTTGCCACATTCTTCACATTTGTAGCATCTCTCTGCAGTATGAACTTTCTTATGTCTAGTAAAATCTGAGAACAACCTACAGTCTTTGCCACATTCTTCACATTTGTAGCATTTCTCTCTGCTAAAAATTTCCTTATTTTCAGTGAAGATTGAGCACAACTGGCAATCGCTGCCAAATTTATTACAATGACAGGTTTTGCTATGGGTAGTTGAAAAACATTGATGAAGGCCATTATAACTGCTTTTCTGCCCCTTGCAATTACCCACACTTTGGTTGTCTTTCTTTAAATGTAAATTATTAAGGTCACAGCTTCCATATTTTCTCAGAATCACTTTTTGAAATGAATCTTTTATGTCATGCTCTGGCAATACCTCTGCAGTAAAATGAAAAGAGCCAGCTGGAGAAAAAAAAAAAAATTCTCCCTCATTAGACTCAGGTGAATAACTTTACAAATATATAATTATACAAAGCACATTAACAAAATGACAATAAAATACCACAGGCTCTATATTCTTACAGACATATAAACCTACCAGAAATATACTGACCAAAATGCCTTTGCGAGAAGTCTAAGAACCAGTTAAGCATTTGCAGCATGCCAAGTGAGCAAATGCCAAGAACCACATAGAAGCGTAATAAAAGTATTTCATATTTACCCAACACAGTCATTCTTCATCCTATGATGACTCTAACTATAGACTCCAAACTCCTGTCTTCCCCCTCCAAAAATAAATAAAATAGTGGCACATGTGTCCATGCTTCTGGCTTATTGAGACTTTACCAAAGACTAATTTCTGTATTCCATGACAGTGTTGAAAGGAAAGGTGGTATATACTGACAGTTTCAGACAGATGAGACCAAAGGTAAATGACTGTTATAAGAGATGAAAGACTTCAGTATCATAGACAGACAATGGGTATAGCAAGTGACTACAGGATCTCAGTAAGAAACACAGGGAATGGCCAGGAGTGGTGGCTCACACCTGTAATCCCAGCACTTTGGGAGGCTGAGGTGGGCAGACCACCTGAGGTCAGAAGTTCAAGACCAGGCAGGCCAACATGGTGAAACCTCGTCTCAACTAAAAATACAAAAATAAGTAGGGCGTGGTGGCAGGCGCCCATAATTCCAGCTACTTGGGAGGCTGAGGCAGAAGAAAGGAGAATCGCTTGAACTCAGGAGATGGAGGTTGCAATGAGCCAAGCTCGTAACATTGCACTCTAGTCTGGGCAACAGGAGTAACACTCAAAACAAAACAAAACAACAACAACAACAAAAGAAACAAAACAAAACAAAAAAACATGGGGAATCTTTTTAAACTAAAAAACACACAAGCCCAGAGAAAACATTCATAGAACGGGCTTGAGAGACTCCAAAAATCTCTAGCCTAAAAAACTGGTATCATATTCCCCCAGACAAAAGCCACTTAATAAAGATCTTGACATGTGGCTTTTTATCGTACAAATTGCAACCTAACATTACAACATATACAAAATATCAAGATAATATGGCTCAAAGATAAAAATGAATATCCAGAAATCATTTATTTAAAAAAGGAGATGTAAAAATTACATGAAACAATTTGAATTAAAGTCTAGATCTACTTTTTAAAAGAAAAAAAAAATTACCCTAGAAAATCACAATTACATCTCAATGATGCTCAATGAGTAAAATGGAAAAAAAAAACCAAAATGAAATAACAAAAATGAAACCAACAGAAAGATAAAAAGCACAGAAAGATAAAAAAAATTGTGTAGAACTACAAAAAAAGACTAATATGCACTTCAACATTAGTAAAAAATATAAGAAAATCAAGAAGCTCGGCAAATTTCAACTAAGATTAACACAAAGAGATTTCTAACAATACACAACATAAGCAATGATTTAAAAGTTGCAGACAAGAAGAGAATCTGGAATTCAGGAAGAAAAAAGAGATGTGTTATTTATATGCATGCTTCTGCCAGATTATGAGTAAATTTAAGAACATAAATCTTTCAGGCAAGAAGGGAGTAGGATGACATCGTTAAAGCACTGGAGAAAAAAAAAAAAGTCCAAGCAAGAAACTTATCCAGCAAAAGTATTCTTCAAAATGAAAAGAAAAAAAAAATCTAACTGTATCATTATATCAAGATCTGTATCAAGATCTAACTATATGTCTTCAAGAGACTCATTTCAGATCTAATAAAAAAAAATGACTGAAAATGGCAGGATGAAAAATACAATTTATTCAAGTGTTAACCAAATGAGAGGAAAAGAGGCAACAATTTATTAAGTTGAAAACTGTCATATTTCATATAATTTACTTTAAGTCAAAATTCACAAGAGACAAAATAGGACATTCAATTATAGTAAGAGGGTTCATTCACTGAGAACCTATAAATACAAGACAGTTTTCCCAAACACATAAAGCAAACATTGACGGAACTGAAGCAAAAACAGACAGCAATATAATAATGGAAGGATACATCAACATCCCACTTTCAGTAATAAATAGAGCAAGACAGAATATCAATGAGGAAACAAAAAACTTGAATGCACTACAAAATAATTACACCTAACAAATGTATACAGACAGCAGAATACACATCTTTTCAATATCTCATGAAACATTTTTCTAGATGGATGACCTGTGACATCAAAAAAGAAGTCTTAACATTTTTTTTAAATTGAAATTTTACAGACTATTATTTATGGTCCAAATGGAAGGAAACTAGAAATTAATAGCAGAAGAAAAGCTGAAAAATTCAAAAAACATAAAAATAAAACAACACTTTCTCTCCCCCCACTCCCGCCCCGCCCCGATGGAGTATTGCTCTGTCACCAGGCTAGAGTGCAGTGGCACAATCTCGGCTCACTGCAACCTCCACCTCCCGTGTTCATGTGATTCCCCTGCCTTAGCCTCCCCTCCCGAGTAGCTGGGACTACAGGCATGCACCACCACGCACGCGCCCAGCTAATTTTTTGTATTTTAGTAGAGACAAAGTTTCACCATGTTGACCAGGATGGACTTGATCTCCTGACCTCATGATGTGCCCACCTCAGCCTCCCAAAGCGCTGGGATGACAGACATGAGCCACTGCACCCAGCCAGCAACACACTTTTGAGCATGCTCTTTTTCAAGGGTTGGAAGACGTAATATTGTGAAGATGTCCATGCTGCTTAAAGTGGCCCACACATTCAACACACCCCTTTTCAATTTTTAATTTTACTTTTCCAAACAGAAAAACAAAAACCCACAAAATTACCTAAGATCTCAAGGGACTGACAATCTTTAAAAGCCTGACAATCTTTAAAAAGAAGAAAAATATTGGAAGCATTATGCTTAACAATTTCCAAACACAAAATAAACCTACAGTAATCAAAACACTTTGGTACTGGTATAAAGGTAGAACACCAAAGTAATGAAACAAAATGCAGCACAGATATAAACTCTTGAATATATGGTCAAGTGAGTTATTTGTACACCATATTGAAGCATTATACACAAAAGAAAATAGGTAAAAGCAATTTAAACTTTCCTTACCAAATGAATGGATAATTTAAAACACAAAAAAGGGAATATTAATCAGCTTTTAAAAAGCAGGAGACCTTCTAATACCTATTATAAAGACAAATTTTGAAGACAACATGCTAAATAAGCCAGCTACACACACACAAATACTGTATGAATCTACTTACATGGAATCCTTAAAAATAGAAAATAGAATGATGTTTGTAAAGGGTCAGACAACAGGAAAAATAAGTAGTGGATTCATGTGTATAGCATATTTCTTTTACAAAATAAAATGTTCTAAAGATATGTTGCTAAAAATGTCAATATACTTAAAGCTGAACTATGTAATTGAAAATATTAAAGAGTATAAAATATTGTTTTTTTAACTTTTACGTTTCAGACAGAGTTCTGCTCTTGAAGACCAGGCTGGACTGCAGTGATGCCATCTCGGCTCACTGCAACCTCCGCCTCCCAGGTTCAAGCGATTCTCCTGCCTCAGCCACTGCAGGAGCTGGGATTATAGGTGCACACCACTACACCTGGCTAATTTTATATTTTTACTACAGATGGGGTTTTGCCATGTTGGCCAGGCTGGTCTTGAACTTCTGACCTCAGGTGATCTGCCTGCCTTCACCTCCCAAAGTGCAGGGATTACAGCTGTGAGCCACCATGCTCGGCCTTTGTATTTCTTACAATTAAGAATATAAAACAATCATTGACTACTAACAACAACAACAACAAAAAGCAAATATACAAGTCATAAAATAGGGGTAATATTTACACAGGCAAACACACACAGAAATAATTATATTGGCAACATATGTATGACTGATTAACATGACTTTTGTCCAAACATTGGTTTAATGTGTACAGAGTTGAAATATTGGCATACAAAATTTTAATACATAAATAAAAACTAAAAACACAATTAATTAATGTGACATAGCCTACTGTAAAACATGAGCCACTAAGATAGAAAATAGTGGAACAAAATTTAACAAAAAAATTAACCAAAAAATATTGAATCAACATAGTGTACTACTAAAAAATAATTATTCTAGATAGCCATGCATTTTAACTGTGACTGCACATTTATAAAGAGCACATATTTTGGTATTTTTGTTCAATTTCAACTTTTCCTATAGGTTCAGAAGCCACATGTTTAGGTTTGTTACATGGGTACATTATGTATTGCTAAGGTTTTGGATACTGCTACTACTACTCAGGTGGACAGCACAGTACCCCATAGGTACCTTTTCAGGCCTTGTCTCTTTCCTCCCTTCCTCCTCTAGTGGTTCTCAGTGTCTACTGTTTTCATTTTTTATATCCATGTATACTCAATATTTGGCTCTCACTTATAAGTAAGAACATACAGTATTTGGCTTTCTGTTTTTCTCCATTAATTTACTTAAGATAATGGCTTTCAGCTGCATCAATGTTGCTACAAAGAACATAATTTTTTTTGGCTGTGTAGTATTTCACTGTGTATAGGTACCAAATATTCTTTATCCAATCCACCAGTGATGGGCAACTAGATTGATTTCATGTCATTGTTATTAAAGACAATAAAGTTTGAATCACTAGTACATAGTGAAAGCAATAACATTTTATGCAAAATGCATTATAATCATTCATAAAAAGCTTTGATATGAATAGGCACTTAAATAATACTGGACATACTTATTATGTCATTAATGTATAGCTGCTATTTTTGCACAAAATGTAAAGGTAAGACGACCTCTGGAAGCAAAGTATTACATTACTAAATAATATAAACAACACAAATACAGTATAATATTGTATGAAATAAAATAAACAATTAGAAATAAATTTATATAATCAATAGACAAAGTTTGAGAAAAGTTGATGAAAATGCTAGTAACTTTTTGTACACAGTAAACTTACAC